TATTGAAGGGCACTGATAAAGATGGTATCGGAGACAAGGTAAAATTCGCTAAAAATTGAAGTTCTGTCGGTGGTCGTGCTGAAAAAGGTGTTTCGAAGAAGTTTTTGAAAAGAAGTTTTGTAAGCGTGGTCGGTATTCTTCTACCCGCAGTGGTGTGGTGGTCAAGTGGATAGCGTGTGGCTTCAAAGGAAGGGACTTCGTGGTTCCACTCCGACCTATGACAGAGTTTTGCATTTTTGATTATCACCTCCGAATCGGTGCCAAATTGCTTCAACGTCAAAACTAACGCTGTATTCACACAATCAGGACCATCAGCAGCCCTTGCGAATGGGTTTTCTTAAAGAACTGGCGGAATCAAGTTGCAGCGCCAAACTGGCGCCAAATGGCGCCGACGCCAAAAACGAACGCCATATTCGTGATCAGGACCCTGATTTACCCCTATAGGCAAATTTCGGCGAAAGTCGAGATTTTGACCTAACTTCGAAAAATGAGGTGACCATGGGCTACAGCTCGTCATACAAGCCGGCGGGCGACTTGAAAACGAGCGCTGCGCGAAAATAAAGCGGAATGCTGCGGTGATTCACGGAATCTAGAGTTCGGCTTCATAGAGAATATTCTACACCACATCGCAGTCCTTGAAATCGATCTAGCTATCGAGATGAAGCCTGCGAGTGGAAGAGCCACTGAAGGACCCAACAGATCACGTTTTGATGGAGAGAAGAATCTGCGACTTTAAAGGAATCTTGCGCGGAAAATTCTTGCACTCTTTCCTAACATGAATATGTCAGTTGTGATCACTGGAAATAGCACACAAAGTTTCACGCATGAAGATTCGGTTTCTGAAGAGAAACAAACGTACAAAAACTACACGTTATGGACCATCGAAGGACCAGGAGGCAGAGCCAGGCGAGGCATGGAAAGAAGACGGCGTTTGGCCGGCTACGTACCAGGCGACGCAATGAGAGAATCGGGTTAAAGCGCGCGATTTCGGAGAGTGGAGACAAATCGATCGATGGAATAGGATGGAGTAGAAGTGTAAGATGTGAATGCAACGAAGCAGAAGGCCAGAAAGAGCTTCTAGTGAATGCACTCCAAGAACCAAGTTTGAGCATCCCCGTCGCCAGCATTCGTGAAAGACGTCCGTTCCCTTGATTATTTAGATTTTTTGAGGGGGAACTCCGTCAGAAAAATACTGTCTAGGTTTTTTGTTATGAGGAATCCAGTGGTGATCTTCTTCTTCTTCTCCCTAGCGTTAGTCCCGCGCAGTCGCAGGGTCCGCTGTCTTTGTCAGTCGTCGCCACTTCGCTCTGTCCAGGGCATCTTCTGCTGTGGCCGTGATTTCACTTAGGTCCTTCTTGATCACGTCCTTCCACCTCTTCTTTGGGGCTCCTCGCGGTCGCTTGCCTTGCACTTCGAAGTCCATCGCTTTCCTTATCGGGTGGTCCTGTGGCCTCCTTAGCACATGCCCATACCATCGCAGACGCTGTTCCCTCACCTTCAGCTGGACAGGGGCAGTCTGCATGACCGCTCTGACATCCTCGTTCTGACCCTGTCCAGTCGCGTCCAGCCGCAGGCCCATCTCAGCATCCTCATTTCAGCGGAGTGAAGCTGCCTTTCGTGATTCTTGTTCAGGGGCCAGCACTCGCTGCCGTAGAGCATCGCAGGCCTTACCACTGTCCGGTACACCTTCCCTTTGAGCGTTCTGGAGCACCTTCGATCGCAGAGGATTCCAGTGGACTCCCTCCATTTCATCCATGCGCGTTGATCCGTGCCTTTCACTGCCTGATCCACACTGCCGTCGGCTGCCAGATCGCTCCCAAGGTATCGGAAGTCCTCCACTCTTTCGATGCTTTCGCCATGTCCGTCCACGATCGGCTCTGCACTCTCTTCGGAGCTCAGGAACTTGGTCTTCTTGACATTTAGCCGGAGCCCCCTTCTGCCAGGACCTTCTGCCACTTCTGCACCTTGGCCTGTAGTTCTTCT